CACGCCAGGTCGCGGAGGTGAAAAGGTTTGGCTGTGGCGGAGGTTTTGAACATTGTGACAATGTCTTATGTACGTGTAAATGCTTTGAGATTTAATTTATTTGTTATGTCGGTGGTGCCATGTAAGTAGTAATGTGTGACAACAGGAAATCGAACCATGACATAACATAACAGTAGTAGTATATAACAGTATAATAATAATTATAATAATAATAATAATAATAATAATAATAATAATAAACAAAACTGCCCAACAATGAATTTGTTAAATACACAAATTCCAGCTGATTCTTTTGTATTTTTATCTGTTGATTCCAAAAATGTAGTGAAACATATTCCATTATCCACCATTTTAATGTCACATTTAAAATAAATTAGGGAACCGGTACTAGATCTAAAAGTGCAAGGAGGGTCTAAATTATTTGCTTCGCGATCTTGGTTTACCTAAAATTCAAGATTGGCTAAGACTTGCCTCGAGATTGAAAAGCTGAAATCTCATACAAGTAAATTCTTTCCGTCAACGCGGAAAGGAATTTGAACATTTATTTTCTCTACGGGAGGACCTAGTTTTCTGTGATTAACAACTCTATAGTCATAAGATGTAATATGACTTTGAAAAAACAGAATCATATGGGACTTATCTTAATGTCTTCCTGAAAACCTTGGCACTGTTAGCCACTAACATGACATGTGTTTCTCTCCCCCCCCCCCCGTACGTAATTAGCATGTCGTCCGCAGATGTCTCTGCATAATGTCTTTTCTACATGAAAGAAGTGAGGTGTGGACATTCTCGAGGTATGACCCTTGTGGAAGATATTTAAAATGTTCTCCCTCCCTTATCTCACGTTGAATAGTTTGATGCTATTCATTTGAAAGTTGCTAAAAGGAAATAGTACTTGATTGAAAGTCGATTCATTAACATTCTAATAACACGTAAATGTGACATTACTTTTTATATTCCAATAGTTTAAGAAATGCATACTTATAATTATATATTTTAAGTATTTATATGTCAATATAAAAAGTTGGTGAACACTTCATGGCAATTGTAACTCATTTTAAAAATGAGTATGAATACTGTAGCATTCAATCACATTACGAACTCTTTTCACAGAAGGGGAAATCATTCAATTTGTAATGGCTGGTAAAGGACACTTTTTAATGATACCTCCCTCCTCCCCCCTCCCCCAAGACATGTACTGAGCAGGCCAACTGCAGTTTTGCCTCGCGAGCTGATTGGGATTGAAATTACGGTAACTCTGGGGAGTAGGTCAGTGCTTAAGCTCAGATTGCCATGTCTACCAATATGAAATGTTTTACATGTTCATAAGAATGAAAAGGTAATGTTTTCCCTAAAACTGATTCAGCTTTAATTACTATTTTATCACTTCAAAGTAGACTAAATTGTATGTATAATCATTAATGAAAACATTACTGGTTAACATCACAACAAAAATAATGAATCACAAGAAAAAGAAAACAAAAATTTGGAAGTTTTCAGTTTTAGAAGAATGACAGCTGCAAGTAGAAAAAGACACCACGAATAAGAATGAGAACAGGTTTGAAAGATAGAAGTGAGAAAAGGGAGATATAATGAAAAGTTATTTCATATACTATTCCTTACCAAGTCATTCTATTGAAGGAGATGGAACCTCTTGATTACATTATTTGTTTAATGATTGATTACTACAATGGCTTAGAGCAGCGGTTCACAACTCTTTTTGCGGACTGCTTATAAACACCAAAATAAATTTGGTTAAACCCTTGTAAATTCATTAGTTTCAATGAAAACAAAACAAATTGGATTGTTATTAAACTATTTTTCTTATACAATCCTTTCATGAAGAAATAGGATGTCTTCCAAAGTCGTGGAAGCAGACCAATGCTGAAATATACTCGCAATGTTGAAATAGTTGTACTAACACATGCCTGGTGTATTTTGAAATGTGATGAAGACAGTGACAAGTGACAATGACAAAAATGTATAATCTTTATGCTAAATTTTAAGAAGAATGGTGCTACACTTTGTTCTGTGAATAAAATACCTTACTAAAGTCCTTGGAGTTTTAAAAGAAATATCCATATTAATCATGAACAAAAATAAAATATATTACAAACCAAAAAACATTTTTAAAGAATAACTCAAGAGAATTTTCTAAGTCTTTTAAACAAAGCCAAGACTCTAATGAACTTTCCACTCAAACCTCTAATGAACAAAATGCGAGAACACTGGAGACCAACAAATAAAAATGAGAAATTTTATCTGAATACTTATTATATATACTTAACATTAAAATTTTAAACTCAAATTTAATGTTTAAAAAATTATTCTATCTTACAAATAAAAATGCAATTGAAAAAATAGATAATTACATACCTCCAAAATAATAAGGAATGGCAAAAATTAATTATTCACTGGGCAATGAAAATATTTCAGCAACATTTTTTGAAATCATTTGACAAAGTTCTGTGGTAGGCAAGAAAGGAGAGTGAACTTAGCATTTACTTCACTGGAGAGGAATGTGAAATTTAATATCTTTAGCAATTTCAAATATAATATAATGAATGAATGATACAAACATATAATTTATAAACATTTGACTTTCTGTACACCAAACTTAACTCCTTGATCCAGAGAAACATTTAATACCTATGCAAACATTCCAGAGTGCAATAAGTACAGGAATATTCCGTATTCCACTATTCCGTACTTTATAACATATTTGACTTTAGTACTGCGCATGATTGGTAGTAAGATTTTTGTAGTTACATTGACATTTCTGCCTGTAATACTCTCATATTCAAAACTTCCAAAAAATGTATTAATCTGATTTTCTGAAAATAATCTGTAAATACTGAATTTCATATTTATGAAACAATCCCAATAATCTTCAGTGTGACAAATTTTTGGAACTTGTTAATAGAACAATACTTCCATAAACTACTTTCTAATAGAACGCTTTAAAGAGAGAGAGAAAAAAAAACACTAAAAGATAAAATTAAAATAGGAATATTGTAAGTTTTTAGTTATAAGTTTTATAACATGATTATGAAGAAGCCAGATTATTTAATGCAAATGACTCCCAGAGACTTTGTCTTTGCATATGAACCTTCAACTGAGAAAGTACCTAAAGAAGTCTTTCAATAGGACTTGAGGAGAACTCTTGAAAAATGGGGAATTTTATTGAAATCACTATTTCTGTGTTAATGCACAATGCAAATTAACATGTAAAGTTAAAGGCAATGGGACATTACTAGATATTTGGTAAACTGAGAATTTGAAAAATTGAGATTTGTTCCATCAAGATTTTATGGCATTTCATCACAAAAAAAGTGGGATGATACAGATTCAAAGCATATTGTGGAATTACACACATGTCTGTTATTGAAAACACTTTCGATAATCCTGGGGTTCGGGCTTGTTGATAAAAATGTGCAGGAACAAATAGGCTCCAGCAGCATTAGTTTTTTGGTCATTAACATAATCTAAAACAAGAGAAGGGCCAACTACATTTCTGGACTCCCGTATCTATTGACTGTTTTTAGTTAGTCATGACATTTTACTAGTAGAACAATTTTCAAATTTGGATCTGTATTTTGGGCAATCACAGGAGGGATTGATACTGCCTTCGCTACATTTATTGGGACAGTTTCATATATTTTCATTTTCAGCTGTTTACAATGGTGATTGAATGTTAATGTAGCCACATTTCAAGAGTAGATTCAAAATTTTCTTCGTTTTGTCTAAAACTTGTCAGTTACACCGATACACAATGTACACATTCTAACTTTTTATAGTTCAGGAAAATTTAAGAAATTTTCTCAAATTTCATTTAAAGTATTTCATAGTTTTTGAAATGAAAGACTCTCGATATAATGAATCTCTTACTTTCTGTAAAATGAAATTGCAAATTTCAAGAAACACAAAAGTAAAAATTTAAATAATCCAATAAATAAAATACATTCAAAATGTGCATTAATGTGGCTATTTTTAGCAGATAGATTTCTATTTTTTGTATGAAATTTTCATTTCTTATGTTAATTTTAGAAAAATAGCAAGTCAGCAAGTTAATTACAACCACACAGGATTTGATTTTTTCAATTAAATAAAACTCCAAGTTTTTCAAGGCCCCAATAGTAGTTAAACATAGATATGGTAATAATAAGTGTAGTCTTCTTAAATACGATTTTAAATGTTAGATCTTGAGGGGTTAATAAGAACAAGTTGTTAATGAATGTTCTGGTTGTTAGTTTTGTTTTAATTAAAAATTGAAAAATGACTATTCATTAATTCTGCTCTATCATTCCACACTTCTATTTTTATCCTTTGATTTCTTTGATGTTTATTTTTTTGTTGTTTTTTATGTCAAGACTATGTCCCCCAAAAGTTTTACTGGCATTGTGTTTTATGGTTTGATTGTTTTATTGGTATTTGACTATGTTTGTTGGGTTCTGTATTATTTTGTATGAATGTGAAAAGAGGTAGCAAACTGCTCCACTTAAAAAGCAGTAAAACTGCTTTTCATTATACACAGTTTTAAAATGTAGGTAGTACAAATCTCATCTTGAAGTAGTTTTGATAAGAAAGTTTTCTATACATAATATGAATCATGTTTTATTTACATCATAACAAAATTCAATTATTCTAAATTGAAAATAATCTACACGGACCCTGAGTAACTAATTTCTTGATTTACAAATGTACTTGAACTTTTTTCTGTCTATGTAGAAGAAATGTAATACATATTTTGCCATATTTAACTCGGTATACCTTTACTAGATGACAATTTATTGTAATTTTAAACGCCCTTGTTAAAATATAAACATCATTACATGCTAGAAAGTTTCTTTTTTCATATTATGTTGTTACTATATATTACAATTTAGAGAGCGTAGTCACTCCTTCCCAAATTTACCTTGATATTTGTCATTGATTCCTTTGTGAATTCGTAAATTTATCTTTACAATCAGACAAGTTATACATGATAATAGGCCTTTCTTCTCAATTTGAATTTTTTTTTTTCATTTTATAAAAAGAAGAAATATAAATTGAGAAACTCTCATTATAATCACAAAAATACAAATTAAAATTATATACTAAAATGAGATAAGTTTGTATTTCTTTTTTGTTTTTTTCTTTCTTCTTTTCTCCTCAGGAAAAAACATACAATTGTAGGTATTTTTTCAGTTCCTTGTTAATAGATTAAAATAGGAACTCACAACCTTTTTCACATCTTCCATTTTAAAGTTCAGTTTTCCTAATAGCCATTTAAGGGATCATCATACCTAATACCTCCTGACCATGAATTCAGATGATTATAAGAATAATTATATTCCGTCATGTAACTATAGTATGTATAGTTGGCCTGGTAGTTAGATTCATACATGGGAACAGATAAATGTGTGGATAAAAGAGGATTTGGTGTAGAATTAGGATTAGTTGCAGAAATTGAACTTGTGGTAATAACAGATGGATTACTAAAATTATTCCAGTCTGTACTTGTAGAAGAATTATTGGCACTGACCTGAGGTCCTTGGTGTTGAGTATTATGTTGTGTACCACTGAAAATGCCTTCATGAGAATAGCGGCCAATTTCAGTTGACCCAAATGCTTGTTCAAAAGTAGGAAGTGGGCGATTTTCACCTGCACTCTCACTATTCACATTTTTGTCATCACCTACAGTTGAAGGCGAAACTGTGGGTGTACCTGATGGCTTCTTGTTGCTATTTAGCTCTGATTGTTTATGACACATACCATCTGGAGTACTGTTGGAATTTGAAATTACTCCTTTTTGCTGCAAAGTAGTATTTGTATTTTCATTTGATGATGATGGAGATGATGATGATGATGTTGGTATGTTCTCCAACAATCGAGTTTGCTCTTCTTCCTGAAAAATTTTAAAAACATTGGAAAACAACTTTCTCCAAAGACACATCACTTATTTTTCAGTCTTCTTACTTGTTGAACATAAATTATTGGCAGGCAGTAGGTCTCAGTTTATAATAGTATTTCTATTCACATTTTCATTTGAGGTTTGTACCAAATGGAGATTTGATAAAAGTTTTGACACCAACAATTATGGAAAAATTCACATTTGAAGTGATTATGATAAGTGAAAATTATTCCAGTGCCATATGAAGTTTTGCTATAGATTTTTTGTTCAAATTACAGATTTTCCAAATATAAATATTGTTACAATATCCTTCAAATGATTTTGATCACAACATTTTTGCTGCCTGTGACGAGAATTTGACATAACTGCAAACCGACAACACACGAAAAATATATGGATTCTGCAGGTACATCTGAGATTACTTGAGAGTACTTGAGAGAATGGATGCTGGGAAACAATCCGTGCTCCCTAAATGTGTGCGGCAAATGAGATGATCTAGTTCGTTTACTGATAGAATTAATAGATAACATAGAATACATAATGTTCTTTTTTTTTAATTTTAAATTCTCCTCGAGACAATGGTAGTAGTTAATATCTAAAATCCGCCACCAACGACACTCGAAGCCCACGATCTCCCGGTTAACGAAGCTGCAGAGGTAATGATGTTGCCGCTAAGCTATCGCGGCTTGCTTCAAAACATCGGTGTAGGCACAAGCGTGACAGTAGACGTTTCCACGCAAACACGTGAAAGCGTCGTCACCTATGTATTTTCAATATAATTCGTGTTTTGTAAAAAACTAAAACTAAGAAAATAATTGCATACACCGTAGATCTGCATAACATTTAATGAATTATAAAACCTATAACCTACGTGCAATGCATAATTTCAACCCCCCCCCCCC